TTCTTACATACTCAAACGGTCATACCGCCAATAGGTAAACTTCTAAAACCACATAACGTCGTGTACCAATTTTTACTTGTTAAGCATATCGTCGTATTTAATTGAAAGACGGGTAAACCCTTGAATAAAACTCGTTTTATTCAAAGTTTTGAGTCACTAAATTACAAGACAATGACGAGGTTAATATTGTAAATTGAATTCATTTGTATCAACATGTTGTCTTCATACCTGCAGCTGAATCCAAACCACAATCGTAGCTATTTCTCGGCTTAGGCAAATCTCCGGTAGGTAAGAGTTTACTAGAGTATTTACTCTCCTTTTCGAGACGTGATAAAGGTTTTACGTTGTTATGATAAATGGCATGCCATGCATTGCTTTGAGAATTATCCTTGTCCACCTCTTGCTCAAGGTTGTAAATATCTCTATAAAGTGTCCATGCATCTGGACGCTTATCAGGATCAGCATCACAACACCGCTCAGCAAGTTTCTTGTATTCCTCTGGTGCTGAGTCAGGCATCCTTGGCCGTAGTCCACCCATAATATCGCATACTAAATCTCTATTGAATTCTCTATCTCTAAAAGGTGGTTCACCAGTGGCAATTAAATACATAATAATACCAAAAGAGTATACGTCTGATTTTTGAGTAAATTTGTAAGTATGAAAAACTTCCGGTGCAATAAAGGGTAAAACACCTCGAATGGTTGAATTTGGTTCACTTGAATTCACTGGTTGTGAAAGACCAAGATCGCAAATAAATGATTCTATCTTGCTACTACCCCTATTGTCATGCAAAACTACGTTCCCGCCATGAAGATCACAATGCACTAATTCTGCATTATGAATATCTTTCAGGTAATATACAATATCCTCCAGATATTGTAATTTCATCCTCCACGTCAATTTGTTAACATTTTGATCTAAATAAGACAAAAGATTACCACTATTGGCATATTGCATAACAATCATGTACTCTTTTGATACTGGTTCTTGTGCAACTCCATAAATTTTAAGGAATCGACTATATTCCTCTGTGCACTTGACATGATTGCTGAACTGTTAAATAAAAATAAATACAGAATCAGATTAAATATCGTGTTAGTGGATACATCAAAGATTGCTTACCTCGGAAAGAAATAATTCTGGCATTTCATCAAAATTCTTAAATTGTTTGAGTACAACTGTATACATCTTATATTTAGCAGTATAGACCGTTCCATAACCACCCGATCCGATCTCTTTAAGTTCATAAAAGTCGTCATATTGCATATATTGTAGACGTCCATAACACTGTATAATTTTGTCCAATATTAGATGTATATCGTGGTATAAAACTAAATAATATGCTTGAGTAGATGGTGCTTGATCTCGCGTGCCCTTTATTAAGCCAGTAGATGGTGGTTGAGTGATTCCAATTATCGAAATATTCTTAGGGGTTAATATTTCTGGGTATTCCTGAGTTAGCTGTTTGAGTAAACAATACAATCATTCATCAATCAATGCAACTTGCATTATTTTGCACATAATAATAAAATAATTTACCTGATGAAAATCAAATAACTGAGCATCCTGTCCATCAACTATCTTTTTGAGCATCACTTTTGTCAATTCATTTATTCTTGTATCTAACCAATCCGCTATATGCGTGTATCCATGGCATAATGAGGTCATTTCTCGTACATTCATCAATAGGGAATACTCTATCCATTGTATATAGCCATCCTCCTTATTCTTCATATTACTCCAGGACTCCATAATGAATGAATCCAAAGACATGTTGCCCGTAGTCCAATCAAGAGGTTGTGGTGCTTTACAATGATAACAGAATAGATTTATCTTAGGTTCTAATTGCTCTGTACATGCCAGACATAATCCACTGTCAACTTTTATGAGACAATACTCTCCCTCTCTATATGTGAATCCGATGGTAACCCAAACATCCGTGGTAAGAATATCCGGATGCTCATCACATAACTAGTGGAAATGATACATAATAATAAGTCAATAATAATAATTATTTAAACTATTCAATAAACATGACACATAAGTAAATAGTTTACCTCGGCATAATATAAATCATGTGTTTCGTCTGTTATCTCAATCAATTTAACATATGCAAGAGTAGGTAGACCATCCAAGCATCCATATCCATATCCACCATAAATATGATCAAATGGAATCCATTCCAAATAGGCATGATTTGATGAGTTTGTTTGTAATTGAGATTTCTTAATAAACTCGTCGAGTTGCTTATTGTTGCTAGTCCATCCATCGGATAATTGTTTATGCCCGCAAATGCACCACACAGGACTACATCGGAGTATTCCACATGCAGGACAGAATCCATATCGAGAATAACAATCGTAAAACTTTCTATCGGTAACCATGTAATAGTTGTTATCATCATGCTTGGTAAATCCTTTTATTAAGTAGTTGCGCCCCTTAAGCCAGTAGTAATATCTTCTGAACTGATTAACGTCATTGTTGTACTTGTGTGTCGGAAGTGAGTATATTCTAGCAAACGCATTCACAAGTGTTGGTGTACATTCTTTGCTATTTCCAAGTAATACTAGTATTATAGCAACTGTATCATACGTTTGCTTGCGAATAGCGTAGTAGACGTTGTCAATTTGAGTGGGCTTTATGTCGATAATTTGCGAGCAAGGAATCCATTCAAGTCTTAAGTATTCATCTTCGCAGGCTTGAACCAAGTTGTCAATTGCTGGATTATGCATATCCTTGACCCCTGGAACTAACGACGTGGTTGAATAAAAAATTTTCAAGCGAGAGAATACATCGCACAATTTACTCAGTCCTTTATTGATATTTTTTGTTGAACAAGATAGTGACCTATCATCACAATATTAATATATGCTGTGTTTCATTACTATTCACCAAACACTGAACATCATTCAATTCGCTTTCTCTTTGACAACTGCAGTTTATAAGAAGTTTGCTTGTTCGTTCAACAGTTGCATGCACGCACAATACAGGCATTCTTAAGTACATACTAAATTTCCTTAATCAGAAATCCCAAGCTTTCTTTTGCTGTTGAGATTCACCTTTTCTGGTAATTATATACGACCATTATTATACTGTTTAGATATATCAGACAAACCTTCACCGTATCATCCTTAAAAAGTCAACAGTAATTTATTTGTCATGACAACAATCATATGTCTTGTTGATAATAGTAATGGTAAAGAAATAATATTCGGGCTGATGGCATAAGCGAAGACAAGGAATACACTTAGCCAAGAATCCGTAGTTACAGTTTTAAAAAAAAGTTATCTGTTCAACTACACTCTACCACTTGCGCTATTCTTGCCTGAATAATAAAAAGTCTTCTTGTAAGTTCGCTTCTCTAAATTTGCTATATTATTATCGTTAAATATTAAAAGTCATCCAAGCTGGCGGGTATGATAGTCAATTACGTTAATTCTTGTTGTATATTATTCCCTTGTCTATTCATTCTCTATTAATGAATCAATGTGATTACACATCAGCGACAAGTTTATCTCACTAATTTACTGCTCAATAATGATAATATATAAATCAACTAAATGTCTTAGGTTATTTATCAATCTATGACTTACGCGCATATCGAACACCTACAGTAGTTATCATGTTGCGTCCATTCTGGTGATTATTTTACTCAATTTTCATGTTTCTATTGCTCGTGCTTGCTATGTGAGACGACAATACTGAAAATAATTATTCAACGCCCAAGTTCAAATATTTAAGCATTATGAGACTTTGGGTAATTACGCTTGCCAACACGTTAATGACCTTTAATTAAAGTTGCTACTCACGTTACCTTTGTTCGTTCCTATTAACATCTACTGTCATTACTACATCCGTGCAGAGGTATGCCCTGAAAGTATTCTTGTATTAATAACTGCGCGCAGAGCAGAATTATGTATACGGAGGTGACAATGGTTCAACAGTAGAGAATACAGTGTTAAACTTGATAAAAACTTACGACACTTTTTTAGCGTTTGTAATAATGTGTAATCTTCCTTGAAATCATCGTATAAATTCTAAATTTCGAGAATTGACCAATATTTACGCGTGTTTTGTCCATATATTTTATCATGATGAATTTAAACATATAAAAATAAATGTATACAGTATATACAATAATTTATTGCTTTTTCGTTCGAACGAAGGAAAACACGATTATGTTCATAGTCAGCTGTATACTGGAAAACAGCATGCCAGTAGACCCTAAATACGAAGTGAAACTTTTTACGAATTGGGGCGGGCCGTCACTTTGTAGTTGTTCAGAAGTAACCCCCGGCCTTAGTAAGAGGACAATTAGGCAAAAAACTTAACTTCTTCTGAACTCCAGAATTATTAAAAGAATATGGAGAAACCGGGGATGAGCCCATGTTAATTGACCAAATGATCTGGCCTGGGACACAGACTGTCTCCCAAACATCCGAACGTATGACAGTATGGAGGGATGCACTTGACTAGAACTTTACCAGACAGAGGATGCACGAAAAAGTGTTGATAAATTCGTTGACCTTCAAGATAGGATAGGTCTAGAACAGCTAATAATTGTCTTTGCAAAAAACATATACAGTCGAGAAGGGAGGTTTGAAAGATGTGTGATGTGAGGCAATATACACACAGATAAGAAAAAGATACAGAAAACTGATAGGCAAGTCTGATCTACTGATAGTTCTCTCCAACAAACTATGATTTATTGAAAGCCAATTTCTATCAAATGAACATAAAGGAGAGCAAAAGTAGCTGCTGGCTACTGAGTCCTTTTGCAAGAACGATAATAATTTTGTCCGAAGCCAAGCATCCATACGCATGTTCAGAAGGTAGAAAACTTTAGCCGTTTCTTCTTTCCCAATCCTTCATGCGCGATAGACTTGTCAGCATGGATACCTCATAATTCACACAGGGAGATGAGCAGGACGAATGCGCGCGTTTGGGTATGCGAAGACTGACGCTTTGCTTCGTATCCTTGACAAGTTAATCATTTTGCTCAAACAACAGATTTCCTAATCTTTGCCACAAAGAAACCCGATGTTTTCGAACAGATAGGATCCAATCGAACTGTCATGGATAAATCAATGTCATACTGGCTTCTTCTTATTCTTGCGGTCCCTAATTGAGCAGCAAGTGGAACCTCTTCCAGTTGCGCATGATTGTATTTGCTAAGAAACCAGCCGATCACGTCTTCGTTCTGTTGACGAGAAAGACTACAAGTGCTGTATACAAGAATACCACCGGGTTTAAGAAGTGACCATCCGTTGGTAATGAGCTGACGCTAATAACATGCGGAATAAACCCGAGTTAATAAACTTGCTTATCACTAGTCTCTAGCCATAGCTTACCTGTAGATCCCATAAACTCTCAGTACGATCTAGATTCATAAAATTCTTCTCAAATGCATCCCATCCCCATTTCTCGTACTATAAATATTATAAACTTTGTCATTATAACTACTTGAGATAATAATATAGTGTCTATATATTGCGCTCAGTTACCTTAAGAATATGCGTAACAGACCCGTCATGAGTACATTCCGCATCCACAAGCACCTAAAATAGTTAACAATGTATGTCAGTGTAGGCCTTAAATGTTATAATATTCTAGCTGGATATGTCAACGGGAATTCAATGCAAGCATTACGTAACGACCGTTGATAAAGTACACATGAACATGTCCAGCTCAATGATTTTACCTTATCATAAAGATATTCATCTTTCGCCTTTTGTGGATCATTTCGAAGAGTCTTTGGTGCCCAAAATGGCTTAATTATGCTCGCACTATTATGACCATTATCACTATCGACGGCCAATACCGTTAAATCCTCAGATAATCCTTCACCAAGTCGATTTTGACCACTAGATCGCATTGTGTTTCCTTCCCCTTGTCGCAGCGGATCGAGAAACGAGGGCGCACGTACACCAAATGTCGTTCCATCAGTAACGAAAAGTCGCGCTCGTCCAATTCGATACTTTTTTAACAAACTCCGACATGTGGCTGCTCTATGTTTGGATATATCAACGCCCGTGACCGTACCAGTTCCATTGGTACCTAAGAAATCAGATATCATGCATAGCTTTGCGCCTGATTACCATATAGAATCGTCAGCTTGAAATGTAAAAAAACAATTATCACAATACTAGAAGCAATTGTTCAACCTACCAGGCGCACAGCACAAGTCTAGAACATGGTCGTCTTTTTTCAAATCAAGAGCATAGACGGCTATGGCTGAACTCAGATCGATCCCATAAATCTAGTAGCAAATTTTATTGTAATCGTCTTTTGCAGTGGCCCTACTTGACATAGCTTAACGATAGAGACCTGTTTACCTTCCCGTCTTTATATCTAATATTTTAGTAGCTTTTTTTCAGAAAACTTAGAATTCCTTTGATGCTTAGAGTAACATAAACCATCGAGCGTCTTACGCTTGACATCCAACAATCTTTGCTTTTCCATCCAACCGGAAAAATCCATCAAGTCCAGGAACAGAGTACAACATTGTTCCCAGTTGAAGCTCCAACTCGTTTCGATCAATTGGGTTTCGATCTCTAGGATTTATTCGTATGTATCGGGGGAGATCTTTGATCTCATAAACGGCGGGATCAATCTCATTCTCCTTGAGGAACTTTTGAAACGAAGGAGGGAAGACTGGCATCTCGAACCAAGAACATTTTCGGTGCAACGGGATCATAATTTGCTGTAATATCACGTGATGTAATAAATCATTTGAGTATACAATACATTAGCTTCGGTTGCATTATAAACAGTGAATTCTTAATGGCGGGACACTTAGAGGTTTCGTTTAGAGAGGGTTGATCGTACCTCTAAAATTGGCACATCTTTAATCAATTAACCAAGTCTATACAAAAATACAGTAAAAATAGTGGATATATAATAATGATCTAATCAGCTATCCAAATTACGACATAACTCTTACGAAGAAATATACAGATGCTAATCCTAGAAATGAAATGAAAAACACACTTTTTGCAAATTGTTATGTAATAAAACATCAAAGAGAAACCCATTGCTCACTTTCATCTGCATTACTTCTTCAGAATCTTTTCTGCAACTCCACAGGTGCAAAAGTTCACCACCAGTTCTTTAATTTCTTCACCCATTCGCTCAACCTCTTTCCTCAACACAGGCGACATCTGCGTTCGATCGCGATATGCGTCAAATTTAGCCAACAGTTCCGGCTGAACGTTCTTGTATAATGATGACGGTATAGCAAGTAGAAAGAGCGTTGCAAAAGCTACTTCATAGTCGGAAAACTTTCTGTGTTGTTCCTGAGGCACCTCCTGCAATGCCTTCTGGATGGCCGGGTAGATTGGTGATAACGTCGTTTCTTTTATTATTGCATTAATATATTGTTCTCTGCTAACTCTTTCCGTTTCACCGATCCCGTTCCCACAATCCATATCTATAGCATGTTGCAGTGATGTTATGAATGGACTATTCATCACAACAGTAGCTAATTCTTCCATAGATTGGGGCTTTTCATCCAAAATTCTTTTTGGTATATTTTCACACAAAGCCTTTTCTAATGCGCTCCAGCTAGTTTGTAAAGCAGACGCGTCGCAATCCATGTTGCACATAAGATCTTTACGACTGTCGGATGGTTGAGAGAGAAGAAAGTATCCGCGCGGTTGTTGAGTGACTTTGTCAATTGGAAACATTGATTCGTATAAAAGGTCAACTGATGCAAAATAAGATGGATATTTGAATCTATGCAGTAAAGAAAGCGATAAATTGTTTAGAGAAAAGTTCAAGTATTTTAAAAGTGCCTTGTGAATAATATTTACCGAGCTGTATCCAACACTAGTGCCATATTCTTTTCCGGAAGATATGCTCCTATTGGTGAGAAGTGCTAAATAAATAAAGAGATGCATAAGCATATATACACACCGTGACACATAGCATTTCTCAATTATGTACTACTCACTCCGTCTCCAGTCTGACTAAGTGTTGCTCTTGAAAAAGAAATAACCATATACACTCCTGGCGTCGAATTGACATATTTCAGATCATTCACAAATTCTTCTTTCGTTACTTGATCTGCGCGCTTGGCGTGCACTTCGCAATGACATTTAGCCAAACATGTAAACTGAGAAAATGTTGTTCCTGATTGTTTGACCTTCTCGATATCCTGCAATTGAATTCGAGTATATAATAATAAAACGATTTAGTAACATTGTAAGAAAGCAAAAAATGTCGGCACGAAATTCAGCGTACAAACCTGGCAACAATTCAATAATTCATCATACCACCAGCGCCTGCAATTAAAAAAGCTTGTTAGTACGAAAATACATAGATTATACCTTGAGAACAATGATACAATCTTCTAATTCATACCAGGGACCTTTCCACACCGGGGCTCCTTGTACTTGTAAAGCATTAAGCACGATGGCCAATGAACTCAATGCACAGTAAGCTGGTTCCATTTGATGAGAAAAACATGAAGAGAGGTCAAAGAACCCTTCAGCATATCCTTGGTTTAATGATTCTTTAATAAGCTCTTTCCCTTCTTTCGAGGTTAGGGAAATCAGAAAGGAGGGCAATTCCCTCCCTTGGAAATATTGTTTTGGTTTTACGATGTTGGCATCAGTGGAATTGGTGGTCGAGGAAGAAGGGTTGGGTTTTATTTTTAAATAGCTTAGAGACGGAGATTCTATAACACCTCTTTCTGTTGCAACTGCAATGTATGATTCGTTCATAATGTTCTTTTCTAATAAAGTTTGTTTTCCGACGGTATTTCTGTCCAAGGATGTTTTACGCTGTCTAGAATCGTAAAAAGGACGAAACCCCGAAGCCGAGTAACTCCTGTTGAATCTACCTATACGTGACCTATTTATCACAAACTGCAGTCGATAGAGCATGGCGAAATATCAATCATTATATGTGGATCTGCATGATCGTCGTTGAAAAACTTAGAACTGTACAGAATACTCTAGACTATTAGTCATGCAATTGTAGTACTCCAGAAATAAATACTATTATCAGACTGCAATGAGTATCATCATTTTAATAACTGTCATAATCCTAATTGGGATTGTAAGACGGATTGTAGTGTATGGTCGAACACCACAGAAATATGGTTGCGCTTGTCTAACCTGGATTAGTAATAGTAGCGTGTAAATTCTTCGACTGAGTATGGGCTTTTTATTGATGAGATTAGGACAATTGACAAGCATCTTGTAATTTTAATTGGTCACATCCAGAGCAAGGCTTACGTGGAATAAATCTAACGATTATAATTAGGCCAAGGGTTTATCTTTTTGATTTCTATTAGTTTCTACAGCGGTTCCCATCCCCCAATTCACTAAATTCTTGTGGTAAGACCCGTGAATTTAATGTGAGTAGAGCATTACTTATTTCAAGAGTTTAATTAACATGTATTATGTATAGCATTCTTACGGCTATGATTAATTGGGCATAATGCTGTTAACATTCTTGATAAAAATTTGCAAGACCGGGAATTTATCGTAATTGACCAAAAGAGGACCCTCTATATATGGATGAGACACGCCTTTAACATTAGATAAAGAAATTAAAAATTTTTTTTGCCCTCTTGTAATTCTTCGATTCACAACGTAATTTCTTATTAGCTTTGACCTGCTTCTGCACCTCTTAGTCGCATCTTTGTCCAAACGTATCACTACTATATTGCTAGAATAAAGTATCGACCCCTTTCTTAATTCTATAAGTAATCTTCTCTACAAATTGGGATAATGATATTTGAGTTTCTTGGTTAGCCATGCTTATCTCATATACGTGTAATAAATTTCCAAGTGGTTCTTAATGCTTTTTCATAACCTCTAATATATGATGCAAATAAGTTTCGATTCATTCATGTTTCAGAAATCTGTTTCAATAATATAGGGAACTCAGAATGGTTTAAAAGTCCTTGGTATGCCATATGACCAGCGACTTTTTGGAAGCTCCTTAATAACGGTCGGCAAATTTCTTTGCGCGCAAAATAAGTTTGCATGCAATAAATTAATAAGCACGCGTCACTGCGTCGTGTACTTTTTACATATATTTATATAAGAAAATTTTAACGCGACTACATTGCGACAGAATACATTTGACTCGTAATCTAAAATCTTTAATCAGTGTGGCGAGCATTACATAGAAAAATCTTTATTTATCAACTATGATGATTCTGTAATCGTTATAGATCATTGCATGACTGAAAACGTAATTTAAAATATACACATCACAGTCCACATATACATAATTAAAATAAAATTCTTAGCAAACAATTTTATTACAGTGATATTCTAAAAATAATACAAGATTTTGCAATAAATAAATAAATAAATAATAATCTGATTGTGGTATACGTGGTACCTAACTAAAACGGATGGTTCGTGTGATAGTCGTGTGTCTTGCTCACAAGTTGGCTAAACTTGGGAATGCTTAGAGTATCCCGTTTGAATGTCACTTTCTTTGATGGCAGACTTGGATTGCAGAGCCATCAAAGAAAATATCAAATGACTGTTGAAAATAAAAACCCCTTCGAAATTGCTTACATCATAGTTTTTCTTATGTCTCCCGTTGTCTCATGTCTTGACTTAGTATGACCTCGCGGGCTCCGAAGTAATGAAGATACGAAGAAGTCGGAGGTTATATTTGGCTGTTTTTATTGGTATGTTATTAGTACAGGATAGTATACGGTATATCTAACCAATACCCGGGTATAAATCAAAATTTGGCAACTTTTAGCTAAAAATGCTCATAGTACCTCTTCTAAGTCTTTCTTTGATAATTTTTTTGGACGAATTTGCACTGAGATTCCACTGTTGATACCGCAGTTGCCATTGATGATCGATTGCATGGATGCAAATCTGTTTATGCAAGTGCTCATTTTCTTGTTATTTTTCTATCAAGTTGAGTGCCTAAAAATATATATAGAAAATTAGTAATACACATACTAATTTCATCTTGACATCAGACAAGCTTGGCAGGAGTTATCTGTGTCTGACTAGTGTCAGTAGTCTTGGTAACTTTTTAAACATCAGACACACTTGGTGGTACCTGTGCCCACACTATCTTAGCTTGTCTGGCGACTTGAACGATAGACAATTTCGGAAATCTCTATCACACCGCTTATTCATTATACAAACTCACAGATAGCTATTGAGCAATTTCTCATGCCTTTGACCTTTCTTTGTATTAGTAATTGTCTGAAGAGATAAACTAATTTATTTACACGGCTCCAAGTCACATTATATTCCATTCCGACGGTTTTCGTACGCAGACATAGTCGTTTGGAAAAAACAAACTTCTTTATCGAATTTTGAGTTATAATTAAACCAATGTGAATCAAATAATTTGCACGCGCCCAGGTTTATCGTTATATGTAAAAGTCAGAACACTCATGTGAATGTTTTTATCAACATATACGATTTACGCGTCTCGATAGTTTTTACATTCAAGTGACAAAGGTGACACGTTATTGCCAGGTCGTACGGGTTCAAATATTATCCCTCCATAAATAGAAATATGTTTATGGGCTGTACGATGTGCGACCTGGCTGGCAATAAAAATCTTCGGCAAAAAAAAAAAAAAAACCAACCAAAACCAACATTCCCACACAAAGTGCGAAAGTAAAGTTTTGGCAAAAACTGTAATTTTATTGACAAAGTTTGCTAAATTAGCTCATTGTAAAGGTTCAGGAAATGCAGAACACGTTGTAATTTGGCGTCATATGAAAAGAAGGGATATAAAAGCTCATTCGCCGATCGTCATATTGAAATGCGCAAGGCATGGGCACAAACACATATTAATATGAGGAACCGGACTGATGAGTTAGGTGGCACAAACAAGGTGATAAGCCAAGCCCATCCGGCAAAAAGGTGTGGCTGGCATCTGCAGATCTGAGGCACACCTCGCGTGTTGCCAAGGACTTTCTTGCTGAAAGTAGAATCGATTAGCTATCTAGCAGTCCCAATCGAAACATGTGGCGGAATTATTAAGAACAAGGTTGAAAAATGTATGCGAATCAAGAGACGGTGAATAATTTGATTAAATCTAATGCAATTCGTAAATGGCGACGGAATTCATGTTAATATTGACATGTTAATGTTCAAGCGAATTTGATTCCACTCGATTTTTTTATGTACCTATTGAGAAAAGCAATTAATTTCGTAACACACTGTATTTACTGTAATGGTTAGGTGACAGCGATAATAGAAATAGATAATGATCGATAATCGACAACTTTATCCCCGAGATGGCGAGATCGACAAACCCAGGAATAAGATTTGCCGGGTACTTTCTGTTCACAGTAAATGCATCTTAGCCTCAACATCTCACAAGACATTATCCATACGTCATTCTCGCCTTTACATTTACATAACAGTAATAGCAAGTTTACTACCCTATGTACGAATAATAATTATTATGGGTAGGTTCGAGTATTAAAAGACGCCTTGCACGGCCTTAGGTCGTCGTGAGTTTTATTCTTCGTCCTGTCGAAAAGAGATAAAAGTAGAGGTCATTGACGTTCGTTACATAATACAATAATTACGCGTATAAGGAGGCAATAGTAAGTACATGTTAATAATCGTTTCGAATACTCTAATCTTGTAATAGCCCATTTTGTTCATATCCACATCATCGATGCCCTCTCACACCATCTTTACCAACCAGGATGAGCGAAACTCGGATAACAACAACAAATCAAGCCCGTAAACAACATCACGCCCATGCTATCTCGGAACTTCCTAAATCCTTGCTAGTTCGTCCTCCTTTTACGTCTACGTCGAGATCTAATACAAACCGGCAGCTAGTCTATGGCATCTGTCCTGAATGTAACGAACTGAATTCCTATTACGACTGGTGCTCATCGTGCATCTACTACAACTATATCTCTTCCAAGGCCGTCTGGACTAGTGGCGACCGGGTTCTAGACAGATTCATCCGTGAAGCACAACGGCAGGCTGTCAGTAGACACAATTTCATCGAATGGATTCCATTTCTGAGATTCGAGAATGTTACATACCTGCATGGAGGTGGCTTGGGTGACGTCTATGAAGCTGTATGGAGTGATGGATATCCACAGGCTTGGGATTACGACAACCAGAAGTTTATGAGATACAAAGATACCAAAGTTGTGTTAAAGTTTATAGAGGCGGCGTCAAGTGGAGTTAGCGAGTGGTTTTTGAATAAGGTATGTTTGTCAATTAATTGTGAGGGAGAATATTTTGCATTGTGAATATCGAACCACAGATCCATGGGCAAAGCGCAGCACATATTCATATCTTCTGGGGCCGAGTCTAAAGTCCATGGATTTATTGTCGTTTGGATATTACGTGTGCCACCTATGTCTCGCGCCATTTTCAAACTTACCCTTGTTTTCTACTCTTGCTTTTGCAGATAAGTGCCTACATCCGATGGCACCAGAACAGCGGGGATCGCTACATCATTCATTGCTACGGCGTAACCCAAGACCCGGATACCCATAATTACGCTCTTGTCCTTGAATATGCAGCGGATGGATCATTGCGTCAATACTACACTAACAATCGATCGGAATTAAACTGGGAGGACAAGCTAAACATTCTCCATATGATAATTAACGGGCTACGGACTTTACACAGCGCGGGTATATTGCATTGTAATTTACACACCGCGAATATACTTCAAATAGGAAACATTCCGCATATCAGCGACATTGGTTTATGCAACACGGCTGATTCTACATGTACAAACCAGCTATTTGGCGTGCTCCCTTTCATAGCACCAGAAGTCTTGCTTACCAAATCCCACACTAGTGCAGCAGACGTATACAGCTTTGGCATGGTGCTCTGGGAACTCTCTGCTGGTACAATACCCTACGCCGATTGCCCTCACGACGAACAACTAGCCATAGCCATTTGTCGTGGACTTCGCCCTCCTATTCCCGATACCATCCCGTCGTGCGTGGCCACAATAATTCGCAAATGTTGGGATGGAAACCCGAGTAATCGACCGAGCGTCGAAGAATTGGAGAATATCATCTGGGCTTGGTATGAGGATGTCTCGGATGAGAGTGGTACGAAAATCGCCATGGAGTTTAAAAAGAGCGACGTGCTCAGAGAGCGGATGCTGAGAGCTATGCGAGGAAAGGAGAGTAGGGAGAGTAGAAGCTGGAATCGGTGGAGAAATAGAAGAGGCAAAACTGTGGAAGGAAAAATCTCCTGTCATCCTCTGGCGGTATATAAGAGTAGGGCTATGGTATTTCCTGGGTTGGAAGAATGGAAAAACGGAAAAGAAAATGAGGAAGCGAACAACATTGGTGGTAAGGAAGAAGGCAACAGAACAATTAAGCGCGCAGAAAACGAAAAGAAAGTGAAAGAGATCGACGACGGGAAAAATAATAGGGAAGTGAAAAAGATCGATAACAGGGAAAGCAACAAGAAGTCGGGTGGCATTGAGATTGGGAGGAACGTGAAAGAGTTGAGTGTGAAAGAGTTGAGTGTGAAAGGGCCGCACAATACAGATGGAGTGGTTAAGGGTGAAATAGTGACGAAGAAGGCGGATAATGCAAAAAATTTAACACAGGATAATGAAACTCCTCCTAAACAGGAATTCTCTCTCTCATTTAGTGATATAGCTAGCAGTGTTTTGTTCAAGCATCGCCATCATTAGCGTAATTACTATTACTAGTAAATATAGATTTAGCTATAGATAAATTCATGTATATCAATTATGTCATTGTTTATGTCATTTAATTTCAAAAACCTGGTTCCAAGAGTTTTATATCGATCATAATGTTCTAACGAATGTTATAATATATGGTATATGTGGGTAGGAACATAAAGAATTTATTGGTGCGCTTGATCTTGGTCTGTGTGTTTTGACCGTCTCGTATTTACCATTCTTATTCTCAGTTGGAGGGTTTCATCCGAATTACGCTAATCATATGATATATTTCTTCAAATTAATATTAAATAATATTTACTATTAATAAAACGAATTTCATAGCTATACCTTACACAGTCAACAACTTCCATGAAAGAGAGTCAGTGTTTTTAGAAAAAGAATTACAACACGAGATTAAGAAGATCTAACCTCTACGGTTAAATCATCTCAATTCAGAGAAACAAAGGTATTAATAATGTTAAGCCAAAAAGGTTGCCACTTATAATCGCTATCAAAAAAAATGCTTGTATTAAAACTGGTAAACTGTTTAGAGGATGGCCTATCACATAAAGTTTGCAGTGAGGGAGGATTGGAGAAAGGATTGGAGAAAGGATTGGAGAAAGCTCCTAATCAGATGTTGATATAATCGAATTTGCTTAACAAAATGGTATGCAAAGAAGTTTAACAATTATGTTTTTATCGTCATAAAATTCTTTTCTATTTGATAAGGCTCGCGTCAGGAGTTAATTCATGTGAAACATATAATAACTGCGCGTACTACTAGAAATGTGAACGCGCATCACATTAACATACAGTGATTTTTCGCTATCAAAGTCGACAGAATCGTGTCATGATTGTCAGGGTAGACAATAAATGGCACGTTTGGCAGAACCTCCTGTGCATCTGGTGTATGCAATCGGTAATCTCTGTCGTTCTAGTTGAGCTATTTAATATCCCGCGTCTACAATAGTGGCGTTCATTAATTAAATATTGATAAATACATAATGTAATAACGTAATCGAGCATCAATTACAACACGTGATAGACTTGTAGCGATGTATAGAATAAGAATGTCAAAAATCGATTCTTTTGTGGCTTGTGAGAAATCTGAGAAGACCGAAAAAGTGGTCTTGTGCATGTGAATGTATTAAAGGTTAGTGTAACATTGGCAAGGGGGTAATGATGACAGTAAGAACAAAATAGTAAGAACAATTTACTTGCCTTCAAGCCAAGCCACGAAGCAACCATCTTGATCCTGCCTCATCAAACCATACCTGATAAAGCAGAAGAATGGAAATACTTTGAAACAAATAATTATGCGTTGAGGAGTCATTGATGCATGTTTCTTCTTGGATGTGATTGGATGCATTTTTGTTATAACGTATTTGTTCTGTGCTACACACACCCTGCATTCTAAATCTTGGGCGTTATTGTGCATGATGATCAAGGTTTCCACATAAAACTATACGGAGCAAAAAGAAACTAAAAATTTTCATGTTTCACCAACCCTGTTGCTTTGTTGATTTATGAAACGCAGACTTGATTTCCGTTGACTATCGTCGGTATTCCGACTGTGACAATGGTATCATTGAACGCCGATAGCTAGCAATTACAATTTGGAATAATTTGAAATCTCTCTCGGATCTCGTGAATTGACAAGTTTCTACAAAAGTAGCAAGGTATCCATACTTGACTACCCGTCAAAGTATGCTGCAAATCTACGGCTGTGTATCAGCTGTTACGCAGCCAATAGATATAGATGGTCCCATATTAGTATGTTGGCAAGTAATATATTTGTTAGTAGCACAAACATAAAACATCAATCATTCCTTTACCCAATAGCAGTTAGTATTAATTACATCGCATTACAGGTGGAGCAGAGAAGTTTCTTTCAAGTTTGAAAGAATTCGAGGATAGGAAAAAAATATACTCATCTTCAGAATGAGAAAACAAACTCGAGATTAAACTAAGAAACGCGCAAAAAAGGAATTAAATGTGTAAAACTAAGAAATCGTAAACATAAACATAACATTTGGTGTATAGGAATTTAAATAGTAAAAAGCATAATAATAAGACAGAATGATTGCAAAATTGTCGAAACTTAGCTATCATATATCAGAGAGACTAATAAAGAAGAAGAAAACAAAGGAACTCATTATAGTAAACCAATTCGCCAGTTTAAATATCGACTTTTATCGGGCCAGAACAAATGTCAGAATAGTGATTATTATGAGAGACTTGAACAAATTGAAGCCAAGAACGCAGGTAAACCAACCTCGCATAACTGGATGCCTGTTACAATTGCTTTCCATGCGCGCTGTTATTTCAATTGATTTATCTCGAATTTTCCACGTGAACCACATCTAGTGTTATGCCTTTAGCGTTTAATCGTAGGTGTAACTAATAAAACTCCACATCTAGTGTAATGTAATCGACAATATTATCCTTCCAGTCGTAAGAATTAGCAGTCTTTTCCTTGTTTTCATGAAAGTCATATTCTTAATACGAATACAATGCAATTCAGTTATAGCAATATCTGATTAGTATTAGCAACTATCATCATTAATTAATTCACTGTAATTTGCTATGGTTCTAATATGATCAATGTCGTACAGAATAAAAGCTTCCCCACTACTAAATTCTTACCGAGTGTCGGATATTAATCGTTTTGACGTACAAAACCAGTAAAACACCTGTTCTTAGCATGATTCGCATACGAAGAAACCAATGGCAGCATCACACCTTGTTGCTGCACGACCCTCACGCTAATGAGCAACATTATCTAATAACACGTTTGTAAGACTAATAAACTTCTAGCTATCCCAATATAGCAAGGCACCAATCGTCATAAAGTTTATAAAACTTTTGCTATTCCACAGTCATAAAGTGTCACAAAAGAGTCGAGAAAGTGCCGTGCAACTAATGATTGTAGACGTCGATCATATTCTTTTATGAGTTGGAATACAATGCCTAGATGACTAAGTCTTTCTTATCTGATTACCGCGTCTCCAAACTGAAACTCTCTTTTTCAAATTCCCCCCCTAATAACTTTGCTGAGAAATGGGTGCAAAGGTTAGCAGAAATACTCGAAGTGTTAAAGCAGCCGCAAAACTACACGAACACGAACCTGCTGCGTGTAAAGATTGCAAGACACCGTACCCAACTGCAGAGCATTGGTGCAAAGTATGCAATGGAAGACGCTTTACTACGCAGTTTAAGGAGTGGACAAGTGGGAACGAAGACATTGATACTTTCATTCAGGAAGCACAGACTTCCGCCACAGAACCTGGGAAAATCTTGGAATGGATATCATTCGAAAAGTTCGAAGACGTTGAGAAGAAAGGAAGGGGTGGGTTTGGTACTGTGTATCGAGCTAAATGGAAGGAGGGCTATATAAGCGATTGGGATCCTGTTCGGAAACAATGGGATAGGTCCGGAGGGATGGATGTCGTGCTCAAATCCTTGGACAATTCCGAAGATATTTCACTTGCCTTTCTTAAAGAGGTAAACTAACATTCATACAAACATTAACTTTAATATCTGTGTAAACCAGTTATTTAAAATACATTGCTAACGTTGCTCCAATTCATCTGCACTCTCCCCCCTCTCCCCACTCTCCCCACTCTCTCCCCCGGTCATTTCCTCGTCTACTCTTGCTCGACGTTTGTATTTCTAGCTCAGAGGATATGTGTCTTTGGGAAAACACAGAACATCTATAGTGAAAAGTTCAGAAATTAGCGACGATGCGCAAAGGCATATTCTCCCATGTTATGGATTTACAAAGCATCCAACTTCTCGTAATTTCATGTTGGTTGTTGAATATGCTACCGACGGCAATCTACGGGATTATCTACATGTAAACTATGATAACACACCCTGGAGATATCGTTTGTCGATACTCTGGACGCTGGCCGAGGGTTTGAGAATAATTCATAACAACAACTTGGTACATAGAGATTTTCATTCGGGAAATGTGTTGCAGCAAGGATTATATTCTAGAATCGCTGATGTAGGTTTGGCTCGATTACCGAACGGTGCGCCGTTACCCTCTAATGCAGGTCCGCTTGGTGTTATGCCATATCTAGCACCCGAAATACTTCGTCATGGATCATATTCCAAAGAAGGAGATATATTCGCTTATGGAATGATAATGTGGGAGATATCGTCGGGACAACAACCACACAGCGACGTTGCTCATGATCGCGAATTGGCTCTTCAGATCTGTGCTGGATCACGGCCGCCTATAATTCCTGGTACACCCGAATGCTATACGGATCTAATGGAAAAGTGTTGGGATGTTGATCCTGAAAAGAGACCTACTGCAGAGGATTTGTTGTTGATAATGGGACAATGGGATATTAGTGTGATTAGAGCTGCTGAAGAGTTTAGAAGGAAGACGTTATTGTTTCAGAAAGAGCCTGCTCATCTGTCAATGAATATCCATCCAGATGCTGTATATGTTAGCAGATTATTGCCAAATATCAGCAATTATTCTGACAAGGATATTAAGGCGTATGGAGAGAGAAGAAAGCAGCAGGCGGCAGATGAGAGTTAATGGTAGGATGTTATAGTCGAACATATGTGTGTTGGGATTTATATATGTATACTAAAGACATTTACAGTTGTTAGCAAATATTTCCTAATCGATTTGTAAGTTTGTCGTTGTTTGTGGAAAGGTAATTATGTGTACTATGTCTAGTGCTTAACTCACAAGGCCTGTGCTATATAATTACTCAATCGTACCATCCCGCTATATTTGTATTCGGATTCTTTCCACTGTGTAGAACAACGCAAACCATCAAACAACAACAAATTATTAACAGCGTACATTCTTTTAATCCTTTTTATTTTTTTTCCTTATTTCGTGTTAGAATATTAAATCATGTCTGGAACATTCATTAGAATTCGAATGGTTTCATCTATTGCATAAAGTCTATTTGGGATAGTTTGTTACAATCATTATTTATTATTATAAATATACTGATCACAACTCAGGAGGATTTTCCCGACTTCTGGTTGCAGATTCGAAAGTGAGCGGTAATGAAACGGGGCAACGAATAGATTATATCCTAAAGACGCATTTAATAAATCGTACTATACCATCTTCGCTAGTCGGAGATCAAGACTATTGAGTTGCTTGTGAGATGCCTGTATATGCAACAAAAGTAAAGGCGATGACGCTGTGGCCGAGGGGTCAGAAAAATCTCTCTGAATGACAAAGTTCACGAATATAATCTGAAAAAGCTTTCTCTCTTTGTAGACAGACAAATTGCGATATGCTTGGTTGAAATGTTGCTAGAGCAGAAGGTGGCTTACCCAGACAACTGAGATGACTGTCATGCGATAGATAAGCCTTACGAACGGATCTTACCAGTGTAACATTACTTATTATTTTTGGCATCCTTTACCCTAACCTATTACTATCTGGAATGACTATGAATTCTCGCTTTCCAAGATTGATTCCACTTTGCCAACGAGAGGGTATATTCTTTTGCAGATTTCGAAGCATCTCGTTTACCAGATTTATTCCTTGACATGATTGAGCAAAGCTTAAACTAACGACTCACAAAGGCCTTATTATTATGGCAACTACTTTGTTGGGCCTGTAGGATGGCCCTGTTAATCTTCTTGTTATTGTGTAGTACATTATTAAAGTCTATATTAATATATGAGATTCCTAATGTATACTGAGAATTTGTAAGAAAACATGCAAAATCTGAAATCTCCAATTTTTGACAATAATGGGAACCTGTAAATGCTTTTTGTAATCCAAAGGAGCAGGGATTAGAATTATATTCAACTCCAGAGCCAATGTTAGGAATTAGATACACAGATGAAGAACAAAAAAGTTGATATTGCTCAAGCACATCCTAATCTTGCCATGTTATCACAACTTCAATATAACTTACTCTTCACAATCACAATGTCTAGCAAGTCAAGCTCCTTCCATAATATTAGAACTTTATTATTTATTATATATTAATATTATATCTCAAATCCATTGATATGTACTATTCACTTGTCTATATTCACCATTAAGTTGAATTGCTACAAGTTAACATGACATGCTCTACAACTTATACCATCAGCTTGTTGAATGTAAGGATGAACTTGCATTTCTTGTGCTTCTCAGAGACCTTGTATCAGTTGTTTAATGTTGCGTTCGTCGCAAAATACGAGGAAACAGCTCACCGCAAGGTATTGCAGTAAATTCATCGTAAGCGCTTTTTTTCGGTCATTCTCACCAATAGTAAAATAATGCTCAGAATTGATTAACACATTATTGACTGTTCTTACTGTCGTTGGTATTCATAATTATAAGATAACAGTTCCGCCCCTGGAACTCGGCTGCGATAAGCTGACAATCAAGTTCCATGACGATGTCGCGGATGTATTGTTTGTTTTTCTTTTTTTGTTTGTTGTTGCTGTTGTTAGGGGCAGCAGGACATCCGCATCATTCTTACTTCTCGGCCGACGGTTTGCGCCTCGCGTTTTCAACCGGGCAGTATATATCCACATTTCGAAATTGGCCTGATGATAACTATCGCGTCGTTGAAAAACATAATTGTAATTTCGCTGGCAAAAAAGCGTTGCTGATCTTCCAGCGCATTCAGCAACTTTTCCATCTGCTTTTGGTGGTGTACTGCTTGTAGCTTGAGCAGGTCTTGCAGGACGAATGAGTGCCGCGCAGTTGGAGATTCTAGGCTCGGGTCATTGTTGTATCTCCCTGGAGATTGTAATTGTTGTCCATTAGTTGAATTTAACACCGTCAGATTATTATTGTCAAAATATAGCCTCCATGTGTTGAATTCAAACTTGATAGCTTGTGGATGGTTGACAGAAATTGATCTTGGCTTATTAATGCTGTAACGGAAAAGGATTATCAGTCATTGAATCAAGAGCTGAAGTGAAAAATCTGATGCAATTACTATAGCATCATCCTCCCAATAAATATAACAAATAAAACCATATTATTATCTTATCCTATGTCTATGTTCTCAATACCCCAGTAACAAATTTCATAAACTCACAATACCATGTTACTATGTTTACTCTACCCCTTATACACGCGATTCTATGTCCCCAACGCTCGCGTCACAGAATCGTTACTACACTACTCACCAGGAGTCAAGAAAAGTCGATTTACTGCTTGCCTGTAGTGCAGATTGAAAGAACTTCCTGCTCTTCACTCTGCCGAGTGATATTGAAGAAGGACCGCAAAGTATACAATGCTAGTGGCCTCGATGAATATGACGTATTAGGAACTTGCATAGGTGACCAATAGTAATAATGCGCAGAAATTCGCGTTTAATCTAATAACCATTCGTGTGTAGGAATAAGAACAGCACTTCAGAACATCAACCACAATGCAATAAATTTTGTCACAAAGTCGGCGAATAGATTTTACTTGCTAGATATTGAAACGTTGTGGGACAATATAAAACAATTACTTGATAGAAGAACTTTATCTACAATAAGGGATTTTAATCTTCGAAGAACAAAAAAATCAGAAGGTAAATTTGCGATGAATTTATTAGAAAAAGAATAAATATGCAAAGGATGGAGGCAATCGTAATGAAACGGCGAAATGAGAAAGCAATTACTTTTATAGTAAAAATAATAAATATCTGTCTTAACGTTATTTCCATGGCACTATATTCGGTCCAAAATTTTTGGGCGCGTATTATAGCTATGGATATGTTAGAACGTATCATTGTTTAGCCATAATAGCCTTTCAAGGTCTAAAAAACACGCGTATGTTAAATTACTTTGATCTAAACGGTTTTATATTTTGGAATGAGAGAATAGGTTAGCTATTAAAATGCGAGTTGGAATGAATCTGTGATTAACAATCTCTGAAATGTGCTATGGAGGTTTACCTTGTCTGGTTTTGTTGCAGCATGCTGCAGATGATTGTTTAGAAAGCTAGAATAATTATAACTAGGATCTTATGTCGGAACTTATAGAAAAGTAACAGCCTCAAGTCATAAAAAGTAGCTTCCAAAGATATAATAATTACTGAAATTGACGTAATAATATATACAATATATTGAATTGTGTGTCCTTTATTAAGCACAGCTAAGGTGGTCCTCTAGAGCTGCTATATACAATATATTGGATGACTACTAATAAGACAATTACGTTTTTTGGCTGTAATTAGTATTGTTGTATTGCAGTGCTCTTTCGTTATTATTGTCACAAATCTTTGTAGCAACACGTTGTCAGCAAGATAAGGCTTTATTTACATGTGTTTACGGCATCTAAACTAGTGATTTTGTATACTTACTTGAGAAGAATAAACAGGTTGTTACTCGCTTATAGTCGACGTACAGTGTTTGAAAAATGTTTTAACGTATTTCTACTGCCCAAATACGATCTCGCTATTTAACTGTAAGATTTATTCTTCACTTAATATTAATGCATTGTACATCAGGTAAACAATACTTTGCGCTGGAAGTTTGGCGTGTTAATTGCTATTCTACATTAATCAAAAGCTCAAACTGTTTAACTCTTTTTGCGAAGACACTAGCTACGTCGATAAATTATAAATTACTGGTATGATTGCACATTATGCTGTAATACACATCAAAGTAAATCTTGTATGCCTAATAATCCAATTGCCGCATTTATCAAATTAATCTCACCTGCATATCAATCTGGTTCGAAAGTAAAGAAGTTTCTTGCTTGTGAACGGATTCTTGCAGATCAAGTAGTACCATGCTCATACCGCTATTAAACAGACAGTCTTCCAAACAAAACCTGTTATTTTAGTTCTCCTTTTGGAATCAGCAGCCCGTTCTTTGGTTATTATTAGTTATTACTATTGGTACACCTGTTTATTAAATGCTTTGTTGTTGTTGTTGTTGTTGTTGTTGTTGTTGCTGTTCCGTTTGCTATTTACGTTATTTGTTCCACAACTAACGAGTTCTTACTTAGCTTTTTTACACTTGTCATTTAACTTTAATTTGCTTTCATTTTTAATAAAAACGACTAAAGTTTAATCGATTATTTTAAAGTTCTTTAAAATCAGATATGACCTATCATCGTAATATAAACTCTACCAAGTCTGACCAATTGAGCGCGAGAAAGATAAAAATTACGTAATAATTAAAAGCTATTTTAAAAAGGCTAATATTAATAGATATGGGTGGGTTAAGGCATCATCAATTATAATTATAATAGGTAATTTAAATTATTTGTCAGATTTACTTTACCGTTTTTTACGCTTAATATTAAGATCTGCACATATAAATCTTTGTGCTATGTATGGAATTATTACCTAATAAAAGATAATCAAATTCTCAATATTAGCTGTCAATGACGTGCTCCGTTTAACCTAAATACGTTGTACTTGCTAAAGTTTAAACCCAACCCATTTTATCAAAGGTGTCTTTTAATATTAACGGTTTATTACCCACTCATTATTGGAACTAATCTAACCAATACCCAGATCATACCCTTTTAATGCAAGAAGTTATTTTTATATTTTTGGAACAAGTAAGAACAATAAATATCTCAACGCCATTGATCATGCACAGATGTGGCTTTAAAACC